ACCAGTGCATGGAGATTTAAAAGTTGTAATAACTTGGTAGCGAATCTTTAGCAACACATAAATAGAACAAACTCAAGCTAATTTAGCCGCGGTTGTACAAACAGCTTGACAACGGTGACTTTTGACTAATACAAAAAATTTGATGGAGAAGAAACAGGGTAAACAGAGTAAACATAGCATTTGTTCAAAAATATTGAAAAATATGTGAAAGCAAGGGTCAGGTAGCCAAATAGTATATTTTTTACTTGGAGACTTTATATAACTTTTATATATACTCAAAAAAACTTCTCCACTTCATTGCTGACACAGCACACACAGGTTGAGCTAAACATGTGTTGGTTTTTTATTTCAAGTTGGAGCCTTGGCCTCAAGCTCTCAGAAAGGATCAATACTATACAATATAAACAAATAGTATAAATATGGGTAAGCCGCTAAGGAATTATTCTTCTTTCATACTTTTTGATGAACTTCATCTTTTACAGAGTCTTTTGCTAACAGCACAGCTCGAAATTAATAAAACAACTATCTCCTTTTAACTCATTTCACAGCGTCTCTCATAAATCAGAGGCCATATTTATGAAATATGCAATTTTACCTTGTCATTTATTTTGAAATTGTATGACGGCACAACTCATGTTTGTTTTTGTTTCACATGATGGCGCAGATCTCTGATCCGAATCAAAATAACTAGATTGTCGCGCAAATCTCGGCTAGTCATAATACTGTTTTGTTCATAATGCGCGTAAATGGTGCTCCTCCTCTCATTTAAAGGGATCAGATTGCACACTGAGGGATAGGGGTGCCAGGTTTGTTTGTGTTGCGTCATCTTTTCAAGTATTTCTATCAGTTACAGAAATGAAGCTAACAAAAGGAGCATGAATTAAAGGGGATGTAGAAATCATTATACTTACCATGTTTTTTATAAAAAAGCCGCAGGCAATGTTAAATGCTATGATATCTTCTGACAAAAAATGTTGGTCTCCAAATTCAAATTCAATCATTTTCCTTTTCCCAAGGTTTCACAAAACTACGAAGTTACAGTAAGCATTATTAGTCATACTGATCTGCTCCAATCTTGTTAATCAGCCATTTCTGGGCATTGTTTTACCAGTATTTTCTTCAAAAACGTCGCGAGATTTAGTGTAATATTAATATAATAATCTATTTAAAGCCAATATTGGAATACCAGCAACTTTGTGTTTTTTGGAAAGAAGTTATCCTACACGTCTCTAATGGCTTTCATCCACAAAACAAAATCCCAAATATGAAGTCATCGAGGGCAACCCTGTAGCGGTAATAGAATGCAACCAGCAGTTGGAAACAGTTTATTCCTAGCCTCGACTACAAGGTTCAGGCATATGTAGGTTCATATAATAACGAAATATTACAACTGGCCTTGTAGCTTTGAGGATTTTCAAGACTAAGATTATGCCAAGTCGTTATGCTATTGGAAAGCTCAGGACATTTTATAGATTAAAAAACTTGTTACGAGGTTTTTAGATGGCTTGTAGCAGCTTCTATGTTTACAATTTGACATAGAAAAGTCAAAATTGGCTTTAAACAAGTTAACAAAAAGTTAATTTTAAAAAAAACTG